AATGGAATTCATAGGAAAAAACCCGGAATTCACAGGGGAAAAAATGGAATTCCACCAAAAAAACCCAGAATTCACAGGGGAAAAATGGAATTCTGGGAAAAAAAAATGGAATTCCACCAAAAAAACCCTGGAATTCACAGGGAAAAAATGGAATTCTGGGGAAAAAAATGGAATTCACAGGGAAAAAATGGAATTCTGGGGAAAAAAAATGGAATTCCACAAAAAAACCCGGAATTCACGGGGAAAAAATGGAATTCACAGGAAAAAAAATGGAATTCCCAGGGAAAAAATGGGATTCATAGGAAAAAAATGGAATTCCACAAAAAAAACCCGGAATTCACAGGGAAAAAATGGAATTCCACAAAAAAACCCCGGAATTCACAGGGGAAAAATGGAATTCCACCAAAAAAACCCGGAATTCACAGGGGAAAAATGGAATTCCACTAAAAAAACCCCAGAATTCACAGGAAAAAATGGAATTCCCAGGGAAAAAAATGGAATTCCACAAAAAAACCCGGAATTCACAGGGGAAAAAATGGAATTCCACAAAAAAACCCGGAATTCACAGGGAAAAATGGAATTCCACAAAAAAACCCCAGAATTCACAGGGGAAAAAATGGAATTCTACAAAAAAAACCCGGAATTCACAGGGGAAAAAATGGAATTCCACCAAAAAAACCCAGAATTCACAGGGGAAAAATGGAATTCTGGGAAAAAAAAATGGAATTCCACCAAAAAAACCCTGGAATTCACAGGGAAAAAATGGAATTCTGGGGAAAAAAATGGAATTCACAGGGAAAAAATGGAATTCTGGGGAAAAAAAATGGAATTCCACAAAAAAACCCGGAATTCACGGGGAAAAAATGGAATTCACAGGAAAAAAAATGGAATTCCCAGGGAAAAAATGGGATTCATAGGAAAAAAATGGAATTCCACAAAAAAAACCCGGAATTCACAGGGAAAAAATGGAATTCCACAAAAAAACCCCGGAATTCACAGGGGAAAAATGGAATTCCACCAAAAAAACCCGGAATTCACAGGGGAAAAATGGAATTCCACAAAAAAAACCCCAGAATTCACAGGAAAAAATGGAATTCCCAGGGAAAAAAATGGAATTCCACAAAAAAACCCGGAATTCACAGGGGAAAAATGGAATTCCACAAAAAAAACCCGGAATTCACAGGGGAAAAAATGGAATTCCCAGGAAAAAATGGAATTCCACCAAAAAACCCAGAATTCACAGGGAAAAAATGGAATTCCCAGGGAAAAAATGGAATTCATAGGAAAAAAATGGAATTCACAGGAAAAAAACCCCAAAATTCCCAAAAAAACCCCCCAAAATTCCCAGATAAAACCTGGAATTCCCTCCCAAAAACCTCCGGAATTCCCAAAAAACAAAACCCCCCCCGGGAAGGGGCCGGGAAAATTTGGGAATTTCGGGGATTCCTGGCAGCTTCAGCAATTTGGGGATTCAGTGCGTGAAGAAGAAGGAAATCGAGGGCGCCATCGAGAAGAAGCTGCAGCTCGGGATCGACCCCTTCAAAGGTCAGCACCTCCCCTTTTCCATGGATTTCCTGCAATTTCCTGCAATTTCCAGGAATTTCCATATTTTTCCCCATTTTCCTGGCTTTTTCCCTGCTTCTTTTGCGTTTTTTCCCCTTTTTTTCTGGGTTTTTTTGCCCATTTTTCCCCATTTTTTCCCCCATTTCCATTTGGATTCCTCTGGAACCGCCTTTCCCCGCTTTGTTCCCAATTTTCCCCAATTTCCCCCCATTTTCCATCCTTTTTCCCACAATTTTTTCCCTGTTCCCCCCATTCCTGCCCCCATTTCTCCCCTTTTTCCCCCATTTTTCCCATTTTTCCCATTTTCCCCCCATTTCTCTCCCGTTTTTCCCCATTTTTCCCATATTCCCCCAATTTTTACCATTTTCCCCCCTTTTTTCCCCATTTTCCCCCATTTCTCCCCCATTTTTCTCCATTTTTCCCATTTTTCCCCCATTTTTCCCCCATTTCCCTCTATATTTTCCATTTTCCTCCCTTTTTTTCCCATTTCCCCCAAATTTTCCCATTTCCCTCCGTTTTTCCCCATTTTCCCCCCATTTTTCCCATTTTATCACATTTTTCCCCATTTTTTCCCATTTTCCCCACATTTTTCCCAATTTGTCCCCCCTTTTTTCCCATTTTTTCCCTTTTTTTCCCCCCCATTTTTCCCATTTTTCCCATTTTTTACCCATTTTTCCCATTTTTTACCCATTTTTTTCCATTTTCCCCCCATTTTTCCCCCGTTTTTCCCCCATTTTT